TATACCTAAGAGCGAATTTGCAGTGAAACAATGTACGACTCCCCGTTCTCACAGGAATTCTCGTGCACACTGAGAGCCTTTTCCTTCCTGTAGGGAGGGACGTACGACTTTTCAAAGCATGATTAAAGGCACAGTTCACGATAAGAATGGCTTTTGAGATATCCCGCTATAATGAATTGGTAGGAATCCCGTATGCCGTATGTGGCGCTATCATTCCTGAAAACGGCCTAGATAGGGCGATATCAAAGCTCAAAGATTGTACCAGGTGTCCTCGGCGAGTTTCACCGGCATTGTAGAGGCTGCACCAGTCGCGAGGAAGCCAATGTATGGAGACCAAACAACTTTTCATGACTATGTGACAGTGGAAGGTAGTTCTGTACGATTCTAGCTTGTTGTAGCTCCAGCTCTTTGTGCAGTTGCATCCACTGAAATCTCGTACGAATACCCCTTCCATGTTATTTCCGACATGGAAATCTCGTCCAACTTCTATCATCCCTACCTTTGAAGAGCCTTATTTTTTTTCGAAATCCGGGAATTTTCTAGCTTTTTTCTCTACCGATGAACTATTCCCCTCTAAACTTTCGCTTATTGACTGAAAAGGGGTACCTCAAAATTATCGTGCACTGTGCCTTTAAGGTAGCTCTAACGGAATCACTGCCACGCGCGTGCGTGCGACCGTGGGAACTCGATTACAAAGTTCACTACGCAGGAATCATGAAAGAAAACAAGTGGCGATTTCTATTCCTTGCTTTTTGATTGGCAGTGACTAATTGACCGAGCAATCAGCCCTTCCATTACGTAAGCCCTTCATGAATGTAACAAATAATGACAGAAGAAAAACATAAGAGATTAGGCACTTGGAGAAGAACTGACCCAATCAGTACAATGGTAGCCGGCGTCCAGAACTCCACCCTGTTTCGAACTCGCTTCATCGGCTAACATGCTGAACGACGTAATTACCAGCGACAACGTTATTAGCACGTAAGGTGCCATTACATACGAGCAACCCGTTTTGAACTGGTTTTTTGAATAGTATTGAGTCTGCGTGATGTCGTTTCTTTTTTGCCCTCCACAAACACCGCCTCTTTCCAAGCGCTGATTCACTGCAACTACAAGAGATTTACCTCCCTCCTCCCAAAAACTCACACCTTGAAAAATGTAAATCGGTGGATCAGTCTCAGAAAAATCTATTTATTTTCAATATTGCCGAACTGCCTGAGGCACTACTTGTCCTTTAGTACCCACCCTTTCGTCCATGATAAGATCTTTCGGTTCGGCCGATGCTTCCGAATAAGCAGCCAAGACTTAAGAGCAGTGCCCTGATCGTCTCTCTCGGTTCTTTCCAAATTACGTCATTCGGGAGGTCATCGAAAGGTCTCAGCGCCCATGACATGCCAATTGCTTTCAAATAAGGGCATGTTTTGGATAACTAATGGTAGGGATCAAAATCCACCAAGACGGCACCTTTTCTGAACAGTAAGACTCCAGAAATAAAACGTTGAGTGCCATTACCCCTACGCAGCCCTTATTCCAATTGTTCGAACCGGATAGATAAGGTTTTCGTCCACAGCGTAGTAGTAGGAAAGAGCCACACCCCTTACGAAGTAGGCGGAGCGCAGGATCACAAAGAAAACAAACGAGCTTGTACAACCAATTGACCAGTCGGTAACACTTAATGTGATGTCTGATCGATTGGTGGCTCTTTGCCTTTTCGTAGCCGTCATTTCCCGAGGTTTGTTATTGTATTGTTAATGTATGTGTAACTATACTCAACCTCTTATATTATTTTTTCATTTAAATCTTTTAGATACATAAGCACTTATTTTATTGTATTGTTAGGGTGTGTTTTTAAGTGTCATACCGAAATGCATTGTTCTTCATCGATACTATAGTAGTTACGGTAAGTAATGGCTCAGCGGCTCGAAGCACCCTTGGTGCAAGTATTACCGCACCCGCTTTTGGGGACTCCTCATACCGCATGTATAGCCTAGAGAATTATTGTCTGGCAGGCTTCGACAAATGAGAGAAACTTAAACTCAGTAACATCTCTCGGTGTAGATAATATACTGACCGTTACCATTCTAGCCATGAAGTCTTGTCTACTGCTTAGGGAAGTCATGAGCACGGGCACATCCTACAAAGGGAAGGCCTGCGGCTTTGTGGAGTACATGTCGTCCTTTAGTTTCCTCCTTTTTTCGAATATTCGCTGGACGTACAGTATCCCTGTAATATGTTTCAGAGACAAGTAGCGCACTATCACATGGTCAGGTGATCGAATCCGGGATAGATACTACACCAAGCCGACTAAGCCTTCCTTCTCCCTCCTGGATCGGTTAATTGGCCCCAAACCCGTATGGGATAACAAAAGCACTGTCTTGTAGATTGGCTGGCCACCACAACTCATTGCTTAGGCCACATACGTATGAAAGCGCTACTGTGACACTAAATGGAAGTCGAATGCGCAGTGTATTTCAAAACGGCTAAGTTCAACGCCAAAGACCTTATCATTTCCATTACATCTGGTACAATACAGCTAAAAAGAAGAAAAAGATCCGCTTTAGGGGTGAGTGATTTTTATAACCACTGAGCATTGTCAGAAGACAAAAGGCGACAACGAACTGAGAAATCGCGCTGCACACGGCTTGCCCTGACTTCACATAATAGCGATGATTGCAAGAATGGTGGCGGGCGGCAGAAATTCGGTTGCAGTAGTTACTAAATTCTTTGGTGGTTACTTGGCTTTTTACTATATTTTTGTTAACTATTTGTCGATATCACATGATCATTATCAAAAGTGAACGAAAACGCCACTACGATACATTGTCTCCAATGATTCAAATTTCTAGTGCTATCGGAAACCTTATTAGAACGATTCGATGAGGAACATCAGCGACCACGTCATCGCATAGCGGACTTCAACTATGGTACCGACGCGATCTCTGGCCCAAGATCGGTATATAACGCCTATATTAGCTGTGTGCATTAATTTCCGCCGTTTTTCACGTGCAAAAACATGCTTATTACAAAATTAAAACTAAATGTACATTAACCAATGTATTGCCCATCGTTAGCTACAACTTCTTGCCATCTTTCTGGTATCTTGTTGACTCTGGGCCTGAAAAAGTCTTCATATTTTGAGGCGATCTTGTATCCACCCATTTTCGCACTTCTTCGGCATTCCGGAAGCGTATATCTGCCAAACTGACTTGCATGGACCGGAATAGGTGGTAATCAGAAAGAGCAAGATCCGGAGAGTATGCGGGCTGAACAAGCTGAACCCATCCAACAACTGCAATTTTTTTAAAGGACATTCTTCGCAAAGTGGGGTCTGGCATGTTCGTGGTGGAACAGCACCTCATGATATTTCCTTGCTATTTTGGTGAGCTTTTAGGTGAGAGCATCCCACAAACTGTCAAGTTGGTGTTCGTAGCGGTCAGCAGGAACAGTTTCATTCGGGTTCAGCAGCTCACTACACCCTTTTGATCCCACCACCAAATGCATACACAGCAGTACTTTTTGACAGTGGACATTCCGCTTTCGTTGCAAGCTCTCGAATGACGAGAAACTATCACAGCAGGTTTGTTCAGAAGAAGCTTGTCCTTCATGGAAGCATCCGGTGGGCTTCAATGCCAGTTTTCTTGAAATCAAACGGCAGGGGAAGGGCCCCCCGGGGAAACGATTCATCACGTTCCATGACCAATGATTCTGAGAGCAAACGGATTTTGGGGCAAAACTGATCTGTCTGCCCTCAAGTAGGTAGCCAATACCCTACCTTACAGAACATGACAGGTTTCACCGGTAAACCTCTAACATGGTTTGCGCAACGGCCCTTGGAATTCAGCGGCGGAAATTAATGCACACACCTAATATGACTTAACCGCTTATTGCAAATATCCACGGGAGCATGACAATGGAATTACGGCGTTATAGAAGCGGACGTAATATTGGTTAAAGAGCAGGCATTGCAACATTTACACTTGTAATGACCTTAACCTACTGCAAACGGTAGGCCACAGAGTAAAGACGCATGTTCTTATATGAAATCAGGATACAAATTCTTCTGCTGCTGGCGTCATTAAACACCTGTAGGCGATACAAAGCAGGGAGGATAAAACAAGATTGGGAAGGGGTTAAATCAAAGGAAAGAAACTGGCGTAAGTTGGAGAAAGGATAACCGATAGATTTGAAAATGGCCTGGGCAATGGAAGAAGCTCAACATATTAAAAGCTTCAAGAAATAAACGAGACAGCTGTTCATTTCCTGAAGGAACGGGTAATTTATCAATGTCCCTGTAGAATGCTTGAACAGCTGAAATTGAAATGCAGAGCAGGAGCACTTCCCTATACACCTCCCTTTGTATATCACGCCACTCGTCTCGTAAATTAAGTTGCTACCATAAAATGTGAGCAGTCAGATCACAGTCGCGGCTATGTGTGATGCCGCTTTGTTGGCAATGTCGCAATGACTAAATAGGTGTTGCTTTAGGCCTCAATGCTGTTTTGTATAGCCCCAGGGTCATAAGTTTGTGAGACAAAGGGGAGGGGCTTTCCATAAAAAGNNAAAGCTTGTAGTTGCACCGCAGCATCTTATACTAATGCACCCAAACTGGCAACTTCGCTAACGCCGTTTGACCGGTATACTATACGGTCAGCAATTTCACTTCCCTAAAAGACAGCGCCATGATACATTTCTCAATGGCAGTGGTAAGGTCTACAAACAACTAAAAATTCAAAAAATTTACTCCACGGCATGATTATTGTAGTTGCTATGCTTAAGGCACTCGAAGTTGGCACATTCCGTGGCCAGCCGATTATAACCCGCCAGCACGTCGGCTTTGTCGACAATCAAGGTGTACCTATGGCAGTTCTAGGATAGCACTCCAGAGACCAACGGGACGATTATAAACCACATCATCACCATGTCATTACCTTAATCCTGACCAAGGGTTCACACAATTGGTTCTCTTTTTTCTAAACTCTATATTGAGCCGTCTAGATTCATAGTCATTCACTGTTCCACAAAAGAATATCTTCTAATTCCACGCGCCTAAGATAGCTTTATACTGAGTCGGCCTCCTACTTAAGCGAGTTGCGCTTAAGTGGTTGAAATTCCAGCTAGCCAACTTATTGGTACTATTAGCGCTATAGTAGAAGAGTTACTGCTGCGAAAATGCCGAACTATTTCTGCAATAGTAAAATTACTTTCATTAAATATAAGTTCGCAAGAAATAGATAGTCGCAGTCGCTGTGTGACCGTTACGCGTACCCAGATGGGTGCATCATTGGCTGCTTTCATACTTCTACTTGCGTGCCGGCTCGCAGTTGGACACGGCCGTACATTTAGAAGTGGGGTGCGAGCGGCTATGCGCGACGGCGGCCCTATCCAAGCGTGTGACAGCAGTCATCCTCGATTTGCGGTATCGATCGGTACCCGCTGCTGTCGCACGCTTGGATAGGACCACCGTCGCGCGTAGCCGCTCGCACCCCACTTCTAAATGTACGGCCGTGTCCAACTGCGAGC